GGGCACAAACAGGTAGTTGGACGTTCCCTGAGGGGTCTCAGATTGGAGAGGGTGAAGGCCAGACTGAGGGGCCCTTTCCTCGCCCCCCCCCCCCACCACCCCAGTGCATGAATTTCGTGCACCAGGCTACTAGTATATATATATATATATATAAAACTAGAGTCTCAGGTTAAGAGTAATTTCTCAATAAATAATAGCTATACATCAGGGGTCCTCAAACTTTTTAAACGGGGCCAGTTCACTGTCCCTCAGACCGTTGGAGGGCTGGACTATAGTTTAAAAAAAAACTATGAACAAATTCCTATGCACACTGCACATATCTTATTTTGAAGTAAAAAAAACAAAACGGGAACAAATACAATATTTGTATTTGCATGTGGCCCGTGGGCCGTAGTTCGAGGACCCCTGCTATACATGGTATTTTTATTCTAGGTTTTACATTTTTTAATAAATTTGCTGCCTTATCAAGACTTGATTATGATTCAGCAATATTTAGACTTTGGGATAGGAAATAACTTTTATTAGCTTTTCTTAGTGATTTTGATTTTGTTTTTTAGATATAATTCATATACCATAAAATTCACCCTTTTATTAGTCCTTGACTGGGAATCAAACCTAAGATCCTTCAGTGCCCAGGCCAATGCTCTAACCACTGAGCCCACTAGCCAGGGCTATAGTTTTTTCATTTTAATGAATTCATTTTGTCTATTTTTTTCTTTGTTTATGCTTTTGTTAACATATCCAACAATTCATTACCTAATTTGAGGTCATAAAGACTTTTGCCTATGTTTCCTTCTAAGAGTTTTTAGGTTCAGCTCTTATATTTAGGTCATTGATTGATTTCGAGTTCATTTTTGTGAATGGTTTAAGATAGGGCTCCAATATCACTCTTTTACATGTGAACATCCATTTCCAGCACCATTAATTCTTTCCCTCTTGAATTATTCTCTCTACATTGAATTATCTCAACATCCTATCTAATAAAAGAGTAGTATGCAAATTGACCATCACTCTGACACACAAGATGGCCACCACAAGATGGCCAGCAGGGAGAGGGCAGTTGGGGGCGACCAGGCCAGCAGGGGGAGGGCAGTGGGGGGGGGTGACCCAGCCAGCAGGGGAGGGCAGTTGGGGACCAGGCCAGCAGGCGAGGGCAGTTGGGGTGACCGGGCTGGCAGAGGAGGGCAGTTGGGGGCAATTGGGCCGACAGGGGAGCAGTTAGGTATCAATCAGGCTGGCAGGGGAGTGGTTAGGGGGTGATCAGGCTGGCAGGCAGAAGCGGTTAGGGGCAATCAGGCAGGCAGGCAGGCGAGCAGTTGGGAGCCAGCTGTCTCGGAGTGTGAGAGGGATGTCAGACTGCCTGTTTAGGTCCGATCCCAATGTAGGATTGGGCCTAAACGGGCAGTCGGACATCCCTCGAGGGGTCCCAGATTGGAGAGGGTGCAGGCTGGGCTGAGGGACATACCCTCCCTGCCTCCCCCCCCTTCCTGTGCACGAATTTTGTGCACCGGGCCTCTAGTATCTTAAAATAAAGGAAGTTAAAACCATAATTCCCTATTTGCCATGATATAAGACAAAAGTTTTCTTGCCTTTTGAAAGCCTTGTCCTAACCATGGGTAAAAATTGCTCTGAAGTTTGAAGTTGACGCACTGATGCTCTGTTATTCTCATCGGGTTAGCAGATTGTATCTGAGATGATAGGTGAGCTCAGTATCTCACAATACTTTTCCCCAGTGAGCAAGCATCTTTTTATAGGATTGATTTGATTTGATAATACCTATTTTATTTACTCATTATTATTTTTTAGTTTTTATTGTTGAGAATACTATAGAGATCCCCATTTTTTTCCCGTTGTCCCCCTCAACCCAGTTCCTGCCCTGCCCCAGGCCTTCACCCCTTCTGTGTCCACAGGTAAAATCTTTGGTTAATCTCTTCGAACCTCCTTTCCCCTTCGCCTCTGAGATTCCTTAGTCTGTTTCATGCTTACATGCCTCTGATTCTTTTTTATTCACTAGTTTATCTTGTTCATTAGATTTCTTGTTTGTTTATTTTGATTTTTAGATTCAATTGTTGATAGATATGTTTTTGTTGCCATTTTATAGTTTATATTTTTTCTTTTTTTTGTTCATATTTTTTTATTTCCTCTTCCTCCTCCTCTTCTTCTTCTTTCTTCTTTCTTCTTTCTTCTTTGTGAAGGTCTTTATCTGACACTTAGTTCTAAATGAGAGTTTTGTTGGGTAGAGTAATCTTGCTTATAGGTCCTTGCTATTCATCAGTTTGAATATTTCTTGCCACTCCCTTCTGGCCTGCAAAGTTTCTGTTGAGAAGTTAGCCAACAGTCATATATATGGGCACTGTCTTGTAGCTAACTAATGCTTTTTTTGCTGATTTTAAGAGAAAATTCTCTCTTGGTCTTTAACCCTTGGCATCTATATAATAAAAGCCTAAGCGATCATTACGAAGAAATGACCAGAATGACCAGTCACTATGATGCGCACTGACCACCACGGGGTAGATGCTCAATGCAGGAGCTACCCCCTGGTGGTCAGTGCGGTCCATAGGGGGAGCGCCACTCAGCCAGATGCTGGGCTTATGGCTGGTAAGCGCAGTGGTGGTGGCAGGAGCCTCTCCTGCCTCCGTGGCAGCGCTAAGGAGCAGCAAGCCAAGCGCATAAGGAACAGTGAGCAGGTGGGTGGTAAGGAGAGAGGGGTCCCGGACTGTGAGAGGGCGCAGGCCGGGCTGAGGGACCCTTCCACCCCCAGTGCATGAATTTCGTGCACCGGGCCTCTAGTTTTAATTATGATGTGTCTTGGTGTGGACCTCTTTGGGTTCCTCTTGTTTGGTACTCTGTACTTCCTGGACACATAAGTCTATTTCTTTCACCAGGTAGGGGAAGTTTTCTGTCATTATTTCTTCAAATAGGTTCTAAATATCTTTATCTCTCTTCTCCTTCTGACACCCCCGTAATGCAATTGGTATGCTTGAAGTTATCCCAGAGGCTCCTTACACTAGCTTCATTTTTTTTTTTTGTTCTTCTGCTTGGGTGTTTTTTGCTTCCTCATATTTGTTGATTTGCTTCTTGGAATCCTCTACTCTACTGTTGAATCCCTGTAAATTATTTCAGTTAATGTATGCTTAATTTCGGACTGGTCCTTTTTCATGTCTTACATTCTCACTTAGATCCTTGAAAGTCTTATAAAGATCCTTGATTAACCTTACAACTATGGTTTTGAATTCTGTATCCAATAGTTTCCTTGTTTCTGTGTTTTTTTGTCTCCTCTGCATTTTGGCTGCTTCCCTGTGTTTGTTTCTATGTATAGGTAGAGCTGCTATGTCTCCTGGGTTTGGTAGAGTGGCCTTATGTAGTAGGTGTCTTGTAGGGCCCTGTGGCTCAGCCTCTCAGTCACCTGAGCTGGACACTCTAGGTGCACCCCTGTGTGGGCTGTGTGCACAGTTTAATATTTGAGCCTTGATTGCTGTTGGCATCACTGGGAGGAATTGATCTCTAGGCTAATTGGCTGTGAGGACCAGCTGCAAGTACAGTGGGAGAGCTGCTGTGCAGGAAACAGCCTTATGGAGCAGGACTTGCTTCAGTGGGGCTTTGGTGCTCACTGAGTCTGCCTCTTGAGTATGTTGCTTGTGGATGTGTAGTGTTGTAATCTGATATGGTCTGAAGCTGTCCACCGGGTGCACTGGCTCTAGGGCCTCCAGAGAGGTGCAAAGTTAGCCACTGCCTGGGGCCACCCTGCAGGAGCTATTTGTATGGTGCTTAGAGATGCCCAGGTGAAGCCAGCTGTGAAGCAAGGCAGGCTGGTGCTAGTGCAGGGTCTTGGGCTCTTTATTGATCAGTTTGGGGCATGCTGATACCAGCTGCAGCTTGTTTGAAAGATTTTAGCAAAGTCTGAAACCTGAGCAAGGTCAGGCCATTCATATGGAAAAGCCACTGCAAACAGGTTGGGTGGGACTGAAAATTAGATGGGGTGAGGTCTCAGGAATCACCAAGGTGGAGGAAACAGTGTGGGCCATACTGATGGAAATCAGATATGGCTGCTAGTCAGCCCTGCCAATGGAGAGGTCCCAGCACAGGAACAGTGACCCCTGAGAGCACCCCCATCAGGGAGAAAGCCACCCCTGAGTTCCTGCCTTGATGTCAGATAATCCAGTTCCTCCCATCTATGTTTGAGTCCCCCAGAGCCACTACCCAGCCCTGGAGCTCAGAGGAAGAGGGACCTTGTAAGTTAGTGCATAGGCCCTTTAAAAGAAACACCTGAGTCTCCAGCAGCCCCTCTGTCACTCAGCCACAATCTCTGCTGGTTTTTATAGCCTGAAAGTTATGGGGACTTCTCTTCCCAGCTCTGGGACCCTGGACTGGGGGTCTGGTCTGGGGCTGGGATCCGTGCTCTTCACAGGCTGCCCCCGCAGAGACAATCTTCCACCAAATTAAGCACACATAGGTGTTGGACCAGCCCATTCCCTGCCTCCAGCCCTCCTACCAGTCTCAATGTGCTTTCTTCTTTATTTCTCTAGCTGTACAACTTCCAATCAATTAGCTTTCAGGCAGTTCTGAATGGTGGTTGTTCTGTATTTTAGCTGTAATTTTGATATGGTTCGATAACACCTTATTTTAAAAGCACCAGGTCAGAGACATATGTGTCCTTTTTCCCTCATTGACCTCTCCCTGACCACCTCAACCCCCCAGCACATGCCCTCACCCCCTTAGTGTCTGTGTCCATTGGTTATGCTTATTTGCATGCATACAAGTGTTTTGGTTGATCTCTTACCCCCCACCCCAGTCTTTATTTTTTTAATATCAACAATTCAGGGAAAATATTGACACAATTGGGGGAGAGGCAAAAAGTAAATTATTCAAATAATTAGTTATGGCAGTGGTCAGATTGTAATTTTTCTAATCAGTTTCTTAGTTGTAGGACGAGAAAACAAACAGTAATGTCCACTTACTTTTATTATTCTATGAAATTTAATTTCTAGAATTTACATATTATAGAACTAGTTTCATGTATTTTCATCATTGTAACTTCTCATTAGTGTTCTGTTTTTTTCATAATTTCAGCCTAGAGATGTTGGACAAAGTTGAGCCCCCAACTATACCAGAAGGTTATGCCATGTCTGTGGCATTCCATTGTTTGCTAGACCTTGTCCGTGGCATCACTAGTATGATTGAAGGAGAGTTGGGAGAGACTGAAATGGAATGTCAGACTAGCAGTGAAGCCGCTTCTTCAACAACACAGTCATCAGAACAGCAAGAATTACAGTCAACAGCAGATGAAATGGATAAGGAAATAGGTGTGTTATTGTGATTCTATATTTTTAATTTTATTTGGAAATAATTTGAAATTTATAGAAAAGTTGCAAAAATAATAGAGTTCTCATATATTCTTCACCCTGATTTCACAATTGTTAATACCACCCTATTTGTGTTATCATTTCTTCTATTTATATACATGTCACTATACGTTTTTTCTGGACCATTTTAGTAAGTTGCAGACGTGAGGCCCCATTATCCCTTAATATTTTAATGTGTATTTTCTAGAATTAAGGACAGAACCTACTGTACAGTTCCCATTAAAAATTTAGCATCAATCCAATATTACCATTGAATTCCAGACCCCCTTTAAATTTTGTCTGTTGCCCCTTTATGTTCCTGGATCACCTATTAAATTTGGTTCTCTGACTCTGTACTGTCCTTTAATCTGGGAAAGTTCCTTAATTCTTTTCATGTTTTATATGACCTTGATATTTTTTAAGAGTACAGGCTAGTCATTTTGGTTTGTCCTTTGGTTCCTCATAATTAAATTCAATTTAATCATTTTTGGCAGAGCTACCACAGACATGTTGCTGTGCTATACTTACTGTGTTCAGCAAACATCAATATGCTTCATAATTGGTGATATTAACTTTTATCATTTGGTTAATATGATGTCTACCATGTTTCTTCTGTGTAAAGTTAATTATTAACTTTTTGTGGAGAAATACTTTGAGACCTTTACTTTAAAAGATATTTCCCTCATTTTTTTTCGTTTATTTATAAATTCTTGGATTCCTATTTTATTCAAAGGATTATAATCTATGATTATCATTATTTGGTTTGACTCTCAGATATCCTCGATAGGGCCATGGGGACCCCCTTTCAAGATAGCACGTGTGCCTCATGTCCTTTTGTCATTTTCTGAGCATTCTTACTGTCTGATACAACAAAATGTTCCAAGCTTATCTTGTTTTTTGTCTTGCCCAGTTCAGCAATCAGCTATTTTTCCAAGGAGTCCTAGTTCCTTTTAGTGGAGAATAGTATTTAGATACTAACACATGGGCACTAGGTAAACTTCTTGGTACTTGAATAGGAAATACACACAAGCACACATCTAGCTACATTTAAAAAAATATTTCTCTGTGAAATATCAAGAGGTCACACCAGTTTTTCTAATTCCAGTTTAATATGACAAGGTCTATTTTTAGATTTCCATATTTGTAATTCCCTTCTTCCATAGAGAGAAACTTGATCCCATTTTACTCAACATGTTTACTTTTTTGCTTGATCCCCAATGTATATAATCAATCTTAATACATTGACTCATTGCCAGCTGATCACATAGGGTGAAAGTTTGGCCCAATGAAGTGGAAAGGAATAGGAATTGATCTGATATGTATTCTTAAAAGATATAAGTTAACTTGTATATAGAAATATCTTACCATTGATATTTTAAAATAACTTAGTTTTAAGGCTTGCTAAATTCTGAAACTATAATGTACTTTTAAAGTTTTTATTTATTCAGATATGTTTTAAATATAATAGCTTTAATATTGAATAGTTGAGTTGTTGGTGGAATATTTGATATATTATAAGATGACCAGGGAGATTTTAGAATTTGACATATTGTCAAGTACTATGACATCTATAATTATCATCAAGTAGTTTATTTTGTTTTGTTTTGTTTTGTTTTGTTTAAGTTAATAGAGCTGTTTGGGAAGAAATGGTGAATGCCTGCTGGTGTGGTCTACTTGCTGCTCTCTCACTCCTTCTTGATGCCAGGTATTAAGTCTTTGTAAGTTTTATATTGCATTTGACAATTAAAAAACACACAGTAAAATAGTTTACTTAAATTTGTCCTAAGAATTATTTTCTAATTTTAGTTTTTATATGTGTATAATATTATTCTTTGTTTTATTTTGTTTGTTTTTTTAGAATGGTTTACTGATTCCTAGAGAGAGAGGAAAGGGGGAGGGAAGGAGAGGGAGAAACATTGATGTGAGACACAACATTGATCGCCTGCCTCCTGCGTACCCCCTACCAGGAATTGAGCCTATAACCAGGCATGTGCCCTGATTGAATTGAACTGGCTACCTCCTGGTGCAGGGGATGATGCCCAACCAACTGAGCCATACCAGCCAGGGCATTATTCTTTGTTTTGATTCTCCTCCCTTATTCTATCCTTGCCTTGCTCCCCACCAGAATTGTTGCTAGTGTTTTGGGAAAAAAAAGTCCTAAAATTACAGAATGCTTTTTCATTTCAAACCTTACTGTTACAATTATTATAATCATAGTATTCAATTTCTTGGCTGTTTTTCTTCAGAATTGCAGAATTTACTGATTTTAAAATGATATTTTTAATTTTCAGGTATATGTTAGTTAATATTCCTCCATAAGTATATTGATTTTGACAATTTTTAATAAATTTTCTTAAAACTTCCTTAAATACCTAATTCCACATAGTTTGCACTGTAATTAAAAATAAATTAATCATATTAATCACATTAATGAAATACTTTATTTTTTCAGCACAGATGAAGCTGCCACTGAGAATATTTTAAAAGCTGAACTGACTATGGCTGCTCTTTGTGGAAGATTGGGCCTAGTAACTTCAAGAGATGCCTTTATAACTGCAATATGCAAAGGTTCCCTGCCTCCCCATTATGCTCTTACTGTGTTGAATACCACCACTGCAGCCACCCTTTCCAATAAATGTAAGACTTCAGTTTACTCAAAGTTCTCTTCATCTAGTGGGCTGACAATGGCATAGAGAAAATATTATAGAACTTCTTAGTTCAAGCCTCTGCTCTTCTATTCACTGACTCTGTGACCTCTGTGAGAAGTTAATGTCCCTGAACCTCAGTTTCTTTCATCTTTTAAAAAATAATGGAAATTAGGGTAGGGGAAAATGACAGTAATTTTAAGCAATAATGGTGAAGATAAATCTGGAAATCCTTTGTAAACCATAATATATTGTCGAAATGGTGGTGGTTTGTATGTTTTTTCCAGTGGAACTAGTAGAACAGTAATGTTTGCAACTACTTATATTAAATAGATATTCAAAAAATTTTTCCTTGTTTAATACTTTCAACACATTCAAGTTTCTTCCATGCAATGTAAATATATTTCAATAAGATATTCAATTTTTAAACTGAAAATGTGAACTTTGGTCTCTAACTTTAATTGAAAAGTTTACTGGGAATACATGTTTAAAATAGAGTCCTAATTCTAAGTTCTTACAAAGAAATCTACCAAAGTTACATAATTTGTTAAAGTTACATAGAAAATTAACTTACTTAATATTTGCTTAACTTGCCTTTGTTTTTGCCCTTCCTGAGTTTTAAAAGTGTTTGCATATAGGTAACTAAGTCATCATTGAATTTAGTTTCGTCAAATTAATGTCTTAAAATATAACATTACTTTGAATGCAACATAAAAGTTATATTTGAATTACTTAGGTATTCATTTCTATTGTAGCATATTCCATTCAGGGCCAAAGTGTTATGATGATAAGTCCATCAAGTGAATCTCACCAGCAAGTAGTGGCAGTGGGTCAGCCACTAGCAGTCCAGCCTCAAGGAACAGTAATGGTAGAGTACTTGTTCTTTTCTTGTTTGCCAATTAACTTTCAAGGAAACTTTTGTATCTTTTTTGCCAAAATGTATCTTTATACTTATTTACTTTCTTTTACCTGGGTGTTATCTTTAGAAGAAAATAGATAAATATGCAGTTGACATTATCATAATCAACTATGATAACACAACTTTTAAGGAAATGAATGTATTCTGTGTAAAACCATCCAAACCTATTTTCTTAATATTTTTGGTGTTTTTTTATTTGAATTTGATAATGCTGCTGTACAAGCTTTTAATTTTCAAGAATGCATAACAGTTCTGCAAATATATCCTTTTCTAAATAGTTAACATCCAAAAATATCCAGTGTATGAGGACTTTACTTAACTTGGCACACTGTCATGGGGCTGTTCTTGGAACATCGTGGCAACTTGTCTTGGCAACTCTACAGGTATGTTGTAGTCTCTGGATCAGAGGTCAGTTTTGTTTTATATCTAAGTGCTAACAATTAAACTAAGCAACGTCGATTGGTACTTCGAACAGGCTGAAGGAATAAGCAGTAAATATGAGAAGGGAGAAGTTGGAAGGGAAAGAAGACATTGCTTATGTTGTATGAAATAATGGAATACTTCTCATAATGGTCTAAGTTCTAGACTAAGTTCTGCTTATGCTTGGTGTAATAAGTATTTTATATGACTATTAATTGCTGATTTAAATTTGGTTGTTAGAAGCCTACTACTGATTTTAGTTTTAGTTATTAAAAATTACTACTGAGTTTTAATTTTCATTATTAGAATTTTTATGCTTATAAATTTATTTGTTTTGATTTTTAAAAACATTTTCAGCATCTTGTATGGATTCTGGGATTAAAGCCTAGTAGTGGTGGTGCCTTGAAACCTGGGAGAGCTGTAGAAGGACCCAGTACAGTAAGTTCTAGTCATTCTTACTCAATTAGTGCTTCCCACAATGTTCATATGTTACATTAATTTTATTCTTCTCTTAGGTTCTAACAACAGCAGTGATGACAGATTTACCAGTGATTTCCAATATACTTTCAAGATTGTTTGAAAGCTCACAGTAAGATCAGGTTTTTAAATTGGTAGAAACATTATTATTAGCTATTTATTTTAGATCAGAATGGCTTATTCATTTTTTTATTTCAGGTACCTTGATGACGTATCATTGCACCATTTAATAAATGCGCTTTGCTCCTTATCCGTAGAAGCAATGGATATGGCCTATGGAAATAATAAGGTGTGGTATTCTACCTCTGTATTTTAAATATAGTACATTACTTAATTAAATAAGGTGTGTACTCATCATGATATTAGTATCTTACTAATGGGACCAATATCTTATAGGCTAATCCTACTCTGTTGAGTTTTTACTGTTTATGGATCATAAATCAAATTTTGATTTGAATAAATTTGCATTCTATGTTTTTTAATTATTTCCTGGGAGTCTTATGTATAAATAGTCCAACTATATTTATTCATTGTAAAATGTAGAAAGCATTTTACTTTAAATAATTTTTAAGATATAAATAAATCAAAATATTCCTGTGCTTCCCAGTTATAATAGGAATGATATTTTGAATATAAAAAGACATTATCTCAAAAGTATTTTCTATTCATGTCATCAATGAACAAAGCAAAAAATTAATTTCCAAGGTAGGGAGAGTCATTTATTACCTTCAGAAAGAAATGATAAGCATCTTATTTTTTGTCCCAACAAAGGCAAGAGAAACTGAGACTTATATTCCTTGATTTAAATCTTGTATTGTCCCAATCATAAATTGTAAGTATTATTGTGACATTTTATAGAATTTTATTTCTAAATATGGTGCTGTATTATTCTTTTTAAAAACATTTTGAAAAATATTCAGTACACAAGAAAAATGTACTTATAGAGAAATTATTATTATTATTTATTAATTTAAAACAATAATGCAGGGTAGGGCAAAAGTAGGTTTATGGTTGTGAGTATGCAAAACAGTTTATTCTTGTATTATTATTTATTAATTATTGTATTAATTTCCATACAAACAATGTAAACCTACTTTTGCCTCACCCTGGATCGATGTTTAACCACTGACCCACACTGGCTGGGCAAAAATGATTTTTGTTGTTGTTAATCCTCACCCAAGGATATTTTTCCATTGATTTTTAGAGAGAGTAGAAGGAAAGGAAGAGACAGAGAGAGAAACATCGATGTGAGAAAAACACATTGACTGGTTGCCTCCCACCCTGACTATGGCTGAGGATCATGCCTGCAACTGAGATACATGCCCTTGACTGGAATCGAACCTGGGACCCTTTAGCCCATGGGCCAAAGCTCTATCCACTGAGTCAAACTGGCTAGTGCTAGTGATGTAGGCATAAGAGAGTATTATTAAATTGCTTTCTGAGAGATCAACCAAAGGACTTGTATGCATGCATATTAGCCTAATCAATGGACACAGACACCAGAGGGGTGAGGGCATGAGTTGGGGGTGGGATGTGGGGGGACAATGAGGGGATAAGGACACATATGTAATACCTTAATCAATAAAGAAAAAACAAAAACTGGTGGAAACTAAAACAAAAAAAAAACCCTGTGCTTTCTATAAAAATTCTAAATATGCAGATGCTAAAATGAGTAGAAACATCTTATTTTCTACATTTTTATAGTTTATTAGTTATCAGTGTAAGTTACATATTCTAGTATTAAAGATGTATATATTAATTGTCTGTGGCTTTATAGTGACCAGTCATCTCATTTTGGTCCTCATTGCAGGAATTTGTGCTAATGTGTTAAGGAAGTAGCTGGTGGTAAAGCCTTCAAATTCTTTTTTAGAAGGAGGTGATGTTAATGATACTTGTGTAGGCATAGTACCATGGTCATATCAATAACAAAAATAACTTAACAGAATAAAGCCTAATAATGAATAATAAAGCAAAATAATAGTTTGTTTACTGAATGTCAGACACTACAGTATGTTATTTAATTATTGAAAACAACTCTGTAAGGTTCAGTAGCACTATCCCCATTTTATATATGAAATATGAAATAGCTTAAGTAATTTGCCTGGGATCACCTATTTTGTAATTGGTGAAGCTTAGATTTAAACCCATATATGTCTCATTCCAGACCTCCATTTTAAACCACTTCACTAGTGACTTTTGTGTGCATCAAAGTCAGCTATGAGATTTTTTTGAAAATATAAATGTCAGGGCCACATTCTAGGCTTCCTGAGTAAGAATCTTTGGGTATGAGGCCTGGATATCTATACATTTTCTTCAATGAGATCAAGAGAGAGGGAGTACGTGCTTGCAAGCTCTCTGGTATCTTTTCTCATAAGGACACTAATCCTGTTGTATCAGGATTGTATAATCCTATGATCTCATTTAATGTCAATGATCTATCTTATGGGCTCTCTCTCCAAGTACTGTAACATTAGGGGTTAGGGTTTCAACTTGTGAGCTTTAGAGGGACACAATTCAGCCCATAGCAGAATCCTTTCCTTCTGGTTAGAAAACTAGTCATTTTCTGTGTCTGAAATTTTTGAATTTCACTTTTCCCTCACTAATTCATTCTCTTTATAATTAAATTTTCAAATTAGGAGCTATTCTGGATACTTGCGGTTGGGCAGAAAGGCTTATCTCATGAGGACTGAGGTTTTATTATCTTTATTGCTAACTTTGTACTAACTAGTCATATATTAGTTCTAGTCATGCTCTTCAGAGTGTTCTCAGTTTCATTTATAGTTCCAAGTACTCAAATTTTTCTTTAAATACCAAGATGTAATATGTTTTCTCTCTAGGAACCCTCTCTTTTTGCTGTTGCTAAATTGTTAGAAACTGGTCTAGTTAACATGCACCGAATAGAAATTCTATGGAGACCTCTAACTGGTCATCTACTTGAGGTAACTTCTTTTTAAAAATTATTATATTCATTTATTTTTGTTAAGAATAAAGACTTAACACAATGAACTAATAATTCTGGATATCCATACACAAAATCAGGATTAATTTTATCTATATATTTTTATCAGGGACTGAAGTTAATTATCTTGCTGAAAGAATTCTTTTTGTTTTGGGCTGAAAATGGGTGCTATATCAATAAAATCTCTAAAGTCTCCTTCAGCTGTTAGTTTGGGTTCCCTTTCTTTTATGATACATCTTTTAATCACCTTATTTTTAGCTAGTTCAAGGCAATTGGGACAGATTTAGTAGTAAACTCTCCTGTTTTACAGCCTTTCCCATGATTATGAGATAGATCTCCTACAAGGGGAAAAACCTGTTTGGTATCACTACTTGTAGATGGCACCACGGAATTTTATCTGGATTTGTATTCTCTAGTATTCAAGTTGGGGTGATTCTTAATCATTAGCTTAATAATAGCTGCTTCTATCAGTATACATGTGTATGTGCAGTTTTGGTTTATGATGCCATGGTCATTTGATACTAATTTAGTAACCTGACAAAGGTATTATTTTTAATAAGAAAAACAAAAGTGCTAGTGCTTTTCTCCACCCCCCTCCCCATTTTATTTGGATTACTTTTATGAACTGTTAAAGGACATACGCAGATTTCTTTATTATGGATATTCTCCTCAAATGGCAAAAAATGCCATTTTTAAATTGTAGCACATTATTTATGTGGGTAGACCTAATTAGAAACATTAGTATCTGCTTCTTTTGTTTATTCTGATGACATCATTTACTTTCATGAAATCCTTTCTTTTCTGTGACTTGTTTGATTTCATCTTTTATCTTCTGTCTCTCTATTGCTTCCTCTTACCCATTATTCAGAAGGTAAGCTTACCTATATTTTGGATACAATATTTCCTTCAACCCTTATTGATGAATATTTGATATAATTTTTTAAATGTGAAAGGATAAAAAATGTAATGTTTTTATTTTTCTTTTCTCAAATTGATATGTAAGCTTAAGTATATAAGTTATATATTTAATTTTTGTTCAATGTATTTACCTTCAGGTCTGCCAGCATCCAAATTCTCGAATGAGAGAATGGGGAGCAGAAGCTTTAACTTCACTTATTAAAGCAGGGTTAACATTTAACCATGATCCTCCACTTTCACAAAACCAGGTAGAAAAAAATCTTTTTAAAAAAGAATATTTAATGTAAAATCATCTTCCTTATGTAATTTTTTCTTAATTTATCAAATGGCTGATATTTTAAAAGTGGGTTTTGTTGCTTAAACAATGATATGTAGGCCATGGGTCTCCAGGTTGATGTACCTGGATATTTAGGATTATTGTTATCTAATGTTGTAGAAACTTTCTTGTGCATGACATTGAACTAAGTTAATAAACTACCTGGAATTTGTCTCCCAGTCCAGAACTTTCAGTGTTGGGGCTTCATTTTGGGGCCCTATTTTATTAGTCTCTTTTTCTTTCTTTGGTCCTTACCTATCTCTGACATTTTTCTTCTCATTACCCTTACATGGGGAGAAAACAAGTGGCAGAAGGGATGAACACAGTAAAATAGATTTTTATTTTTCAGTAATTTACAAAGTTATTTTATGTTTTCATAGTTTACATTAGTCTTGAGTTCTTTGTCCTGACTCAACTAATCAGTCATATATATTTTATACAGTTTTTTAAAAGTTGGATGTGAGGGCGATCTGGCTGCGACATCTGTCACCCCATTGATCGCCAGGGTTGATTCGGCTGATCTGGCTGGCTAGGCGGGTGTCCCCCTCCTCCCTCACCGATCCATGTGCGTCCCTCCCGAGGCTGCGCGCTCGGTTGAAGAGGACGACCTTCCCCCCCCTGCCCCAGGAGAGGACCGGTCTTTGGTCAAGGGTACACGAGTAGCTGCGCTCCCCTGCTAGAACCTCCAAACAAGCTCTAAAAGTACACCAAAGGTTTATTGTTTGAAGATTGAGTAGGAATGAAGCATTTAATGAAGCAACTATTCCCATTGCTCTCATTATCTTACTGCATTGTAATTGTATTCTACAAATTTATTCATCAAACTAGAGGCCCAGTGCACAAAATTTGTGCACTTGGGGGGGGCCGGTTCCTCAGCCCAGCCTGGGCCCTCTTGCAGTCTGGGAGCCCTTGGGGGATATCCGACTGCTGCGGAGGTGGGAGAGGCTCCTGCCACTGCTGCTGCGCTTGCCAGCCGCAAGGAAGTTCAGGGTTTCTGGCTGAGTGGTGCTCCCCCTGTGGGAGCGCACTGACCAGCAGGGGGCAGCTCCTGCATTGAGCATCTTCCCCCTGATGGTCAGTGTGCATCATGGCAACCAGTCGTTTTGCTGTTCGGTCGATTTGCATATTAGCCTTTTATTATATAGGATACTTATTAAGTACGTAAGGCAGGCAGTGTTTTAGCTTTTGGAGTAAAATGATGGGCAAAACAGAAAAGTTCTACATTTTTATAGAGCTTTTATTTTAGTGATTTCATATTTTTTTCCTACTGCAATTTTTTTGAAAAGAAAACCCTTGTTTATGTGTATCTTCAATGTCTAGCTTAATACCTTGCACATAGTGAGACCTTACAAATGTGTGTTCAATCAGTGAACCAAATAAATGAATCTTTGGAGAGAAGAAACTTAAAAATGAAGCAAGTGCTTTCAGCTGCTGAAAGTAATAGAAAGGAGTGCTGCTTTTTTTAAAAAAACTCTCCAGCAGATTTTGTGCTTATATGTCATCTTTGTTTACCATACTTATTCATGTTTTAGAAGTATTGAGAATTTTAAATTTAAATACATATGCTATACATTAATAGAGTAAATGATAGGTAATTTTAGAATTTGGAAATTGTTTTCCTTTTTACAAATACAGCTAGATATTATATAGATATATTTCCTTTAGTGAGATTTATTTCTATATGTATTATTATTAATATCTTTTAACATAAGGTCACTCCCCATTTATCCTGAATTCTAACATCTTTTTTTTAAAATATACTTTATTGATTTTTTACAGAGAGGAAGAGAGAAAGATAGAGAGGTAGAAACATCGATGAGAGAAAAACATCGATCAGCTGCCTCCTGCACATCCCCCACTGGGGAAGTGCCCACAACCCAGGTACATGCCCTTGACTGGAATCGAACCCGGGACCTTTCAGTCCGCAGGCCGACGCTCCATCCACTGAGCCAAACCGGTCTCGGCCTGAATTCTAACATCTTAAAAGATTGATTTTTATTTTCTCTTAAATTAAAAAACAATATAGATGACAAAATAACCCCTAATGATTCCTGTTAGAAAATTATATTCAATGTTTATTTTACTATAAAATTTGTGTTTACCATTGCAGTCTGATTGGAGGTGATTTTGAACTTAAAAAGTCTCAGCAGAGCCTTTCTGTCTTTTTGGGCTTCTTGTCCTAATTACTTTCTTGCCCTCTTTTCAGAGACTGCAGTTGCTTTTATTGAACCCATTAAAGGAGATGTCCAATATTAACCATCCAGATATCCGACTCAAGCAACTAGAATGTGTGTTGCAAATTTTGCAGAGTCAGGGAGATAGTCTTGGACCTGGATGGCCATTAGTGCTTGGAGTCATGGGAGCAATCAGAAATGACCAAGGGTAAGTATTTCAAATTAACTTTCAAAAAGTAACAGAAAAAGGGAATCCATCCTAAAATCTGTAGTAGTCGCAATTTTTTATATATACTCTTTCTGCTTAAGTTCAAGTTCTACAGTTTTTCTTAACTCTACCCTCAAGTGGCTACAGTGAATTATTAGGGCTCACTTTTGTTTTGGAAGGATGGGAAAATTGCTGTTTATTGACATTTATACAAGGATACAGGTTCTTCAGATAAATGTATCAATCTAACAAACTTTATAGCACATGCAAAGATTGGGCTTTCTTTTGTTAAATACTTGGTAAAAAGTAAATTTACATTTATGGCTTGACCTCTCTGCATATATTGGGAAGTCTAAGAAATTGCTTTTAAGTAACCCTTTTTCATTGATTTGTTCATTTATTAAACACTAGAGGCCCAGCACATGAAATGGTGCATGAGTAGGGTCCCTAGGCCTAGCCTGCGATCAGAGCCATCGTCTGCCTGCTCGCCAGTCCCACCCAATGCCGCCCACCCCAGTTCCCTCTTGGCCGGGCGATCAATCTGAGCCTGCGGGGATGGGGGAGGGACCAAGAGGTCGGCGTTCTGCCAGCTCGCCAGTCCCCAGTCCCGCCCCACTGCCACCCACTCCAGTTCTCCGTGGTTCTCTGTTGGCTATCCAGCGATCGGATCCTGTGGGCTCAGGAGGGACTGAGAGGTGGTCAGTGCACCTCATAGCGACTGGTCAATCAGTCGTTCCGGTCATTAAGCCATTACATTTTTCTCTTTTTATTATATGGGATTGGTTCTGTGCCTAGTATATTCCAAATACTATGCTTTCTAGTTATTCTGATTACACAGATAAATAGCTCCTGCTCTAAAAGTAGAATCCCTTCCTCTCTGTAAAAAATCAATAAAATATAAAAAAAAAATAAAAAATAAAAAATAAAAGTAGAATCCTATGGAAAAGGAACAAACCCTATAAGTAGGATATCCTAGTAAGAGAATAGTTTTTTATGTTACAGAAGTATAATAATCCAGTTGGAGGGGCCTCTGCCCCTGGGGAAGGACAGAACCAAAATTATGAAGGATATTATATGCTTTCATAAACTACTTGGACTTATCCTTAATGTATTAGGGAGGTATTTTAGGATTTTAATCAGAGGAGTAAATGTATCTGATATGCATATGAGATGTATCACTGTGTCAAGCAGCCTGGAGGAGTGGATGGGAAAGCCTACTGTGCTCTCTAGAAATAGAGAGGAGATGGATTTGAGCTACTTATTAACAGATTAACTTTTAGGGGGAAAGGGTTTTAGGAAACAGAATCAGGAATAATGCCCAGATTTCTGGCTTTGCTTAGTGTATTGTAGTCCAAATTACCATAAGGTATATAACTAAACTACAGGCCCGGTGCATGGATTCATGCACTGGTGGGGTCCCTCAGTGTGACCTGCAGGGATTGGGCCAAAACTGGCAGTCTAACATCCCCAAGGGATGTAATAGTGCATGAAACAGGAGGTGGCCGGGGAGGAGTCAGAGCCCAGGCCAGGCGCCACGTTGCTCCCGCTCCATCTTGGCCCCACTGCGCCTGCTGCTGCCGCTCAGTAGGCTCGCTGCCACTATGTTGTGGTCTCAGTGTGCCCATCCTAGGGCAATACCAGCATACCCATGATGGAGAAGCGGCTGTGGGCTCACACCCAGTCAGTCCCTATTGCGGTCCAGTCTGGATGGGGGAGGGTCGCACAGGAGGAGTGTCTGCAGGAGAGGCTCGTGCTGCCGCAGCAGTTGTAGGAATGCACTGACCACAAGGGGGCAGCTCCTGTGTTGAGTGTCTGACCCCTGGTGGTGAG